TCTCTCCCTCTCTCTGCTCCTGCCCTGATTGTGCTCTCTCTCTCTTTCTCAAAATAAACATTTAAAAAAAAAAAAAAGGCAAGCAAGCAAGCAAAAGCTTTCCACGAGTCCTCAGCTTCTATCTTTTTGCCCAGAACCGAGCCCCCCTCTGCAAACGAGTCTGGGCTACAATACAGGTCTCCACTCTAAACACCCCCAGGGTTCCGTTGGGAAGGAAGAGAGGGAAACAAACACGAGGCGAGGGGGTGCACAAACGTGTCTCCTGCGGAAAGAAAATATTAAGTGTGTCCCCAGGGAGAGTGTCATCTCTGGGGAAGGGGGTACATTTCCCTCTTATTTGACATACTTCTTTTGTTGTTGATTTTAAAATAATTCTGAACATATGGAAAACTTTCAAGAATAGTAGAAGAAACTTTCCTGAACCATTTGAGAATAAGTTGCTGATATAATGCTCCGTCATCCCTGAATGTTTTAGTTTGTAATTCTTAAAAACACGGACACTCTCCTCCCTAAGCGAAACGAGCACCATCAAAATCAGGACATTAGCAACGAAATTCTTTCTTACCATTTAATCCACAGATCTCAAAGGGCATTCTTTTCTTTAGGGCAATATATTGAGTCCCCGTTGATGATTTTCCTCGATGTCAGCTACTTGTCAGCTATTTATTCAAATATGGATTGTTTTGATTAAAACTGTGTCCTTCGAAGGGCTTGAGCACCCAATGGTGAGAGTCTTTCGGTAATAGGCTGGAACCAAGAGCAGAGGTTGAACAGGTGCACGGTGTCTGATCTCAGCACTCTGTGGACGAGCGCTCGGGCCGGGGTGGCTGGGACTCATGTGGATCTAGACTCCAAGGGGACTCAAGTCCCCCACCCCCCACTCAGTTGCTTTCCCATTTTAGAGAGTAAGCATGAGAGTGGCCTTGCCAACCGGGACATAGTGTCTGCTTGGGCATCGGGCAGTCTGAGGTTTAGGTGGCAGCTGTTGAGGGAGTTAGATGCCTGGAGCGCCTGTTGCCAGCACCTGTTGGCCTGGCAGGAAGTCCTATTTGGGCACAGCCCCTCCTGCTGGGAGAGGGAGGCTCTGTTCTCACTCAGAGTGTTGCCGGGCAACCTCAGTCTTCAGGGTCAGACCCTCCTGTTTGTCTTTCCACAAAGTATATAAACAAGTGTATAAATAAAATACACTGAAGTAAAATTTAGATGGTTGAAGTAACAGAAAATAAGATTTTTTTTTGTTGCCTTCCTCCTTTCATCACTGCCCCCAGATATTACTGATTTGAAATAACTTTTTGATGATGTGTGTACATGGTCCCTGAACGAAAGAAAACAGGGATAAATATAGATGTCCCATAAGCTGATGCTTTGATGATGTGTCACAAATTAGGAGTCGCCTGGGTGGAGCATAGGGATTTTATAAGCTGCTATGTAAATAATGCCTAAATACAGCTATTCTTATGGTCTGAGTTCAATACCTCCACAAAATTCTTTAATTGTTAACTCACTTAGGGCTGTGTTTGATCACTTCTCCTCTAGCATATTTAAATCTATTCTCTAGACCTGTGTGTCCAATAGGGTAGCCACCAGCCATGTGTGGTTATACAAATTAAAATTACAACGAACTGACTTAAATGAAGAATTAGGTTCTCCGTCACCCTAGCCACACTTCAAACGCTCCACAGCCACACATGGCTAGCGGCTGCCTTATTGGATAATGCGCATATAGAACATGTCCATCGTTGCAGAAAGTTATATTGGACAATGCTATTGACCTTTGCCAGGAAACAAAATGTGGGATCGTCTGATGTCCAAATCTTATCAAAAGCTGGTTTAGAAGACGCAGTGTTTATTGGAGATTGGTGGAAGACTGCCCATTCCTATGGTTTCTTTGAGTTTTAGCCTTGAATCAAGCAAGACCAGCTACAGTGTTTTTGGATCACAGCATCTTGGCTGTCTATAGAACTGCTTTCATTGAGCCACATTTTGGGGTTTTGTCCAAGAACTCATTAAGAAATAACCTCGTGAATATTGCTGGGCCAGAAAATAAAGACTTGCTGGAGTATAATGGGGATCTGTCAAAAGGATATGGGTGCCAATTTGGTGGGGTGTTTGCTGGCCAAATCTGAGAGTAATTGAGCAGCACAGTAAATAACGATAAAATGGATTACAGAATAAATCCAGCATGGAAATGTTTCCATGCTGATATAAGTTCATGTGTGGAGGAGAATGCCGGACCATAGAATGCCAACAAATAAATGCAGAAGGCCTGATGGAACTAGAACATCACCCCTTGGCCCTCTCTAGAGTCATAGTTGTTTCGAGCAAGAATCAGCAATAGAAACTATGGGTAAAGGCTGGATATGGAACAAAACACTTTCATAATAGGAAAGTATCTCTTTACAAAATACTTGTTGATTATAAAGGTAAAAACTAGAAGCTTCACAGTGGAGGCACCTGGCAGACCCTACCTTCGTCCAGTGTTCAAAGTTGATGTCACCAGGCATGGGAAGAGTGGCTATCATGTGCCTCCTGACTGCACACGCTGAGGACACAATATTATTACTTCTGAGATACTCTTGCCAAAAAATACATGCCCCGGGGGCACCTGGGTGGCTCAGTCAGTTAAGTATCTGACTCTTGATCTCGGCTCAGGTCATGATCTCACGGTTTTGGAGTTCAAGCCTCATGTCAGGCGTCACGCTGACCGTGCAGAGCTTGCTTGGGATCCTCCCCCTCTCCCTCTCTCTTTGCCCCTCCCCCACACGCACTGCCCCCCCCA